TGAGCTCCAGAGGCAGGTATGCAATGAAAGGATGTTACAGCATATTTACCTTTACCCTTCAAGTAACCACCAATACCCCTTTCCACTTTTTTTTTTTTTGTCAACATAGCTTTCCTCCCCATCTGTATTATGACTCCTGCAAACTAGAAATATGTACCCTTTCCTCCTCATATAGAAAGCTGGCTAGCGCTATCTATCCATGCTTCGGTAGATACAATATAGTCTCTCATTTGAGGCACCTGCATAACCTTGATCACTGCTAATGGGCTGTCCATATGCATGCTTAACTCCAGCACACACGGTGTGTTCTGATAACTCAGCTACCACTGAAAATTGTTTACACAAAGGTAGGATTAACTGCATTTTGTTTTTTAACTGACATATCAATGTATTACTACTGTGCAATTCTGGCATCTGAAGTATACATTCAAATTCTTATTGCAAGTGTGTATTGCAATTTTATCACTTTATTATCCTCCACAGGAGTAATAGTTAAGGACTCTCTCAAGAATATGAAATGCTGCTGCTAACATTTATTTGCACCAGTCCCTTATTTCCATCCCTGTAGAATAAGGAATCTTCATGCATACCACTTCAGAACTTTGCACTGCCAGTATTTAAGATTGGCCAAGTTTCAAATATTCCATTCTTGGGCAGTAACACCGTTCTGTTCCAAACGAAAGGACTGTTCCTCCCAGCCACAGTCGCACAACTGGGAGTTGGAAGATCTTACCAAAGTGAGAACAGAGAGCTTTGTTCTTTTTTTTGCTGTTGTTGTTGTCAGATTGATGGAGTTTAAATAAAATGGGTCTTACCATGTCCTCCCACCCTATTCCATCCTGGACAAAACAAAACAGTAACAGTAAAAGATGTATTTAAGTCAAAAACCTTAGTTAGTGGAGCTTGCAGAGGTTGGGCTATATTTTAGGCTATGCAGTCTGCAGACGTTTAATTACAGGTGCTTGAATAAAAATCCCACTTATTCTGCCTGTCTCCTCCGAAGATGAATTTCCTTGAAGGTCCAAGCTCTGCCCGTAGAAGGCCCAATTCTGTGGGGCGATAGCTGGGTGCTTCCAGAAATATGCTGACCCCTATCAACTCCAGGGGGAATTGCATCTTGCAAGACTAGGACATCAGAGCCAGATCCTGCCTGCCTTACTTACAGCAGTTCCCCCACTTACTTCTATGGGGCTAGTTGTGAAATGAATGTGAACAAGGATTCAGCTTTAAATATTCAAAGCACATTGCTACCAAAACTGAAATTTACTGACTGTCAAGAACCCAATATGCCTCTCGTGATGAAGGGGTCTGATTAAAAGCTGTAATCAATTATTTGTCAGTATTTTAGGTTTTTTATTATCATTGTAAAATATCAATACTCTCAAGACATTGTTTTAATAAGTTTAATGAGGCTCTACAATTTACATTCAATAGATAGCAATACACAGAATATATGAAAACACATATACATATAAAGTTACACTTTTTTACAATTCAGCCAGTATGAAAGTACACAAGATATATTTATTCACAACACATGGACTGCAACTATGCTTCATTCACTTGTCAAGTATCTCAGTCTAACATTATTCTGCAGCCAATGAAGCAAAATTCCCACCCCAAAAGGATTAACAACTTATTTATGTTACTAGACACATTTACAACAGGTTGTGTACAGTAAGAAGGCCACATTCAACACTAAATCATACTTACATTCATTTCAATGCAACCACATGGGGAGGATCAGCACTGATTCTGGACCAACAATTTGCCAAAGTAGAACAGTTATATGAAGTGAAGTAGATGAAGTTAACACTATTGTTTTCCACCCAGAAGCAACTCTTTCCTGCTTAGAAACTCTACCACCATTTTGGTATTAACACAGTACAGTCACAAAATCAAAGCTTCTTCTCCCTTACTCTTCTCTTGTTTGTAGAAGGAAATGAATAAGCATGATCAGTTATGTTACAATGATAGACTAATAAGTGCTTATTAAGTGCTTTTTTGTCTTTGATGGATTATGTGCATTGGTTAGTAATCCTCTCTGTATCCATGACAGTCACATATCTTTTGCTGAAAAATGTGAGAAAGGATACACCTTTCAATCACCTGGCAGAGTTTATTATTTTTGCACTACACTCAACCACTTCTTACAACGTGTTTCATCCAACCTAGGATAACACTGGGGACTGCAGTTGTAGATTCTTCTCCTATGGATCATATTCAGTAGATACTGCATAGCAATGCTACCATTCATGTCAATCTCTTAAAGAAAGCCTGCCTATTACATAATAATGTCACAGGTTGACTGCACAATCCTGTGTGAATTCCCAGTCTCCACAGGCCTGATCCTATTCTCATTGAAGTCAAGGGGAATTTTGCCACTGACTTCAATGGGGGGGGGAGGATGATACCCTTAAGAGTATAAAATGAATGTCTAACTAGTGTTAGTACAATGACTTCCAAAATACTCAACTGATACTTGGCACGTAATAATTTGCAACTAGTAGCATTACTTAAATGACATAGGAATGTAGATTACTGTACTTTTTATTTTCATAATATTGAACAAATGACATTCAGACAGTTGGAACTGAAATTTATATTGTACTTTGATATCAAATGAGTGATCAACAATAAACATACAGGCTATATATAAAAATGGGATGGTAAAATTAATTGTGAAGGGCCCTTTTGCAAGGTGCTGGGGTACTCAACTTCCACTGTAGGCATTCAGCACTTCAGCCTTGGATCCTAAGTTTGCAAAGAAAGGCACAGATACACCTGCAAAAATTGAGAGTACTCCTTGCTCCCACAAACCACACCTACATTTGCTCACATAGGTGCTCATTTTGTTCATGCAAATTCTTGTTTGCATGCACCAGCATAGGCCTCTGCAGATAAAACAGGCATACTGTATATGTATTTTTGCAGATGCATCTGTGGCACCTTTCCAGAAATGTTACTGTTTCTTGATCAACTCTATTCTTTACGTAGGCTCACATGGGTTTAGGTCTAAATTTGTTTGCTACTGACCTCAATGGGAGTACTCATATGAGTAAGAGTTACAGGATTGGGCCCATACTTTTCATCTGTCCTGAGAAACTACATGCCGAGTTTGAGTGTGGTATAAACAGACTAATTATAAACCTACATGAGTTTAAAACTGCCTGACAGGTCTGATAATGTAATTGTAAACAGAAACAGTCATTGAGGGATCCATTCTTGACCCTATGCTACTTAACATTTTTATCAATGATCTGGAAGAAAACAAAATCATTACTGATCAAATTTGCAGACGACATAAAGATTGGGAGCATGGTAAATAATGAAGAGGACAGGTCACTGATACAGAGTGATCTGGATCACTTGATAAACCGGTGCAAGCAAACAGGCATTTTAACATGGCAAAGTGTAAAGTCATACAGTACATCTCAGAACAAAGAACATAGGCCATACTTACAAGATGGGGGACTATCTGGGGAAGCAGTGAATCTGAAAAGGACTGAGGGGTCATAGCAGATAATCAGCTGAACACAAACTCCCAGGGCAACACTGTTGCCACAAGTGCTAATGAGATCCTTAAAAGTATAAGCAGAGGAACATCAAGTAGAGAGGTTATATTACCTCTGTATTTGGCACTGGTGCAATCGCTACTGGAATACTGTATCCAGTTTGGTGTCCACATTTCAAGAAGGCTGTTGAAATATTGGAGAGGGTTCAAAGAAAAGCCATGAGGATGATTAACGGATTGGAAAACATGCCTTATAGTAAATGACTGTAGGAGCTAATCAAAGAGAAGAGACAGGATGATACAGAGGGCTCTTCAATCTGTCATACAAAAGTATAAGAAGATCCAATGTCTGAAAGTTGAAACTAGAACAAATTTAGACTAGAAATTATATACTAATGGTAATTAGCTATCAGAATAACTTACCAAGAGTTGTGGTGGATTCTCTATTACTGCACATTTTTAAATCAAGATTGTATGTTTTTTTTAAAAGATATGTTCTTGTTTAACCATAGCTATTGGATTTGAAGCAGGAATTAATTCAGAGGAGTCCTATGTTATGTATGAGGTCAGACTAGATGATCATAGTTATCCCTTCCGACCAGGGCCGGCTCTAGGTTTTTTGCTGCCCCAAGCAAAAAAAATTTTGGCTGCCCACCCCCGCCAGCCCTGGGCTCTCTCTCTCCCCCCCCAACTGCACCCTCCTGCCGCCCCAGCCCTGGGTCACTGGTAACTCACTCCCAGGGCGAGTCATTCAGCAGGAATTTTGGATGTGCACAGAACACTGACAGGATTGGCTCCCATATGGTTACAGAACTGCAGTAAAGTGGAACAATTTTCAGCTTGTGTGATTGAAGGATATCTGGATGCATATTATAAGACTGTCCTACATAAATGAGGAAAAGTTGAGGTGCCTTTATTATTCTTTTGTTCCACTCTTTCTCTCTATGGGGAATTTGCCAATGCAATATCACTGTCTTCCTTTTAAACAAATCAAAACTAAAAAAAAAAAAAAAA